AAGGGATTGTCTTGACGCAGCAGGTAAGTAGGTGATATATTTAACATAGGAAACTACGATGCGTTACATGTTTTATGGCGGGTAAACAAGCGCCTCGCATAATCGCTCGCGCTGAAGGCTGCGATGGCATCAGAGGGGCGGTGAAGGGCGGCATTCCCTCACTTTAATGCGATTACGCAACGCCAAAGGGTTTTATTACATTGTTCAGGGCGCTGTATTTCTAAGTTTACGAGCTACGTTAAGTTCCGATTCGCGATGTGTTCCGTGTTTGCGCGGGCTATTAGTCAGAAAGGGACGATATTACTCGCACGACGAGCGGTCGACTTAGTTTCGAGGCGCCTCGTCGCCGACCGGGGGCCCATTCACAAGTTCCGACGCGAGGAAGCTCGGAGATCCGAATACACATTGCATGCGCATATCGATTGTCCGTGGTGATTAATGGGGACGTTTCTGAAGCGTGCTCGACTGTAACTACAGTACTCGACGGCCGAGCGCAAATTGGGTTAACATGCGCGCTCGAAGAAGATGAAGGATCGTGCAAAACCGTCTGACAGCGAATAACGCTGTCGCACACGCGGTCTCGATTATCTTCGATCCTTCGACTCGTCAATGCCGCGTGACTGCCCGTCCGTCCGTCCGTTCGTCGATCGGTATGGGGTGTGTAAGCGAAATGTGATGTAATCAGAGACTAGCACCGAATGAAAATATCGGTCCGGTCCTGGTTCCGGTCTACTAAAATATTTAATAAAAGTCCCGTTTTCGGTTCCGGTTTTCTGGACAATGAAAGTACGTTTAAATTACGGTTTACGAAATTACGGTTTTTTTCGATTCCGGTCCTTTAAACTTGTTTTTTATTGAAAATTTTATTTAAAATTTTATTTGACTTAAAATATACTAGGTTGATTGATAAGTTTTTAGAGTGAAAATGAGAAAAATATTTTGTTCGCAAAACTCAAATTTATTCTTCAACATAATCTCCTTTTAGCTCAATACACAGAGTCCAAAGAGTTTCTAGTTTCTTTAAGCCTTCCAAATAATAAGAAGTTTCTAAACCGCCAAAATATGCGTCTGTTTCCCATTCAACCTCTTCATTTGAAGCAAATTTCTTTCCCTGGAGCCATCTTTTGAGATTTGGAAACAGGTAGAAGTCATACGGGGCCAGATCTAGAGAATACAGTGGATGTGGGAGCAATTTATACTTCAATTCGTCCAATTTTGCCAATGCTTTTACCGATTTGTGAGCTGGTATATTGTATCGATGAAAGAGAATTTTTTTCTTCGCTAAATGAGGCCGTTTTTACATGATTTCATCATTCAATCGGTCCAACAATGATGCATAATATTCTCCTGTGATTGTTCTTCCTGTTCCAAAATAATCGATGAGGATTATTCCACATGCATCCCAAAACACAGTGGCCAGAACCTTTCCAGCTGATTGTTACGTCTTTGATCGCTTCGGAGCACTTTCACCCTTTGGAATCCATTGCGCCGACTGTTGTTTCGTTTCAGATTTATAATGGTGGATTCATGTTTCATCAACGGTTATGTATTGACACAAAAGCGTCGTACATCCGATGTGCTGGTATGACCACGTTTAAACTCAGCAGTCCAGTTATATACGGATGCATTCGACGGAGCAGACTCCCCCAAAGTTTTTTGGATGTTCCAAATCATTTCTTACGGTTACAAGCTTTTCAAATAAAAATACTTAATCACTGCACGAATTTCAGTTTTTTCTTTTTTCCATTTTTATATGCTTTCGGTGGCTGTCACAAATATGATTGTCATATCTGTCTGCAACTGTGTAGTGAGAAGTTTGAAGGTTGGCACTACTGGAAATTCATGGCACATTGAAGGTGGCAACACCACTAATGTGTCATTCTAAAGACTTATCTATCAACCTGGTATATATATACATATATACGACTTACTAAACACTCCATCTACACAGCATCCACAAACATTTTAGTATCTTTTATGCCGTTGGTTATACTTGCTAATTATAATGGACAAGCATATTCAAAGTTACAGCTGTAACAACTTTCCGATGAGACTTTAACAACCTTAGTTCCTCTACACGGAATACAGTTCGCTCGTTTCAATTAGCATTCTGAAATACATCTGTTTCGCGTGCGCGTTACTTTTGTTGTTAACTTAAAAGCCGCCTGTAATGAAATGTGTACATATGTTTTCTTTAGGAAAAGCGTGTTATTCAATTAATTGCATGCTTCTCGTTAAGTGGTAAAATTGTGAAAAAAGTTAATCGTTAAGTGCCATTAAAATGATCGTTGACTGCGAGAGTGCGGCGTGATAAAGTGAAACGAGCAAAGAGCGATCAACGTGGAACGATTGGACGCTACTGGAGATTGGATGCTGAGAAGGCTGCAGACGGCTAGATATCAACGCGAAATGATGAGCGTACCATTTGAACGCTCATTAAGCCGTCGTATTACGTAGTGCACGCGATGTTTAGAACGTCAATCGCAGTGATTCCCGGCAAGAAAAGTCAGAGATTACTTTGAAAAATATATGGATCAATAGCGTGCTATAATGAGCATTCATAATATACAGGATGTCCCAAACTAATCTTGATTCCCGGTGTGCAAGTGGAACGGTTGAAACTGTACAATTCAGGATTTTTTGTCTTCCTATTTATTTCAAATTTGTAATATATTACTTCTTCTATTAATTCTCTTCTGTTCAATATTGCATGCCTGAAATTTATTTTCTATTTGTCGCGATAACTAATCGATGTTCTGCTTCTTCGTGAGAACTGGAATTTTATTATGAAATGAAAATCGGTTCCGATCCTACAAAAATACCGATTTCCATACGGTCTTCGGTTTCGGTTCCGAGTCTCTGGTAATGAAGGATTATTTTCACGGAATGATGAGGAAAGGCGAGCGCGTGTAAACGTGTATCAACTTGAAGGAGAGAGTACGTTTTTAAAATTAGGGCCGGGAAGGTTGGGGAAGAGCGCGTTTATCATCTCGCGCACGAGATTGAATCAATAAGCTGCTACTCGCGTGCATAAGGCATGACCCGGCCTGCACAGCACCGAACGGTATAACATCGCAAACACGATTTTCTGAGACCGGGCTCATCTACTTCATTAATCTCTCGGAGTGTGTGTTGCCTATCCGTAGGCACTCCTTCGTTAACACCGGGAAATCCTCACACACATACATTTCCCTATTTACGCCATTTACCCGCCTCGGGCAACGGTATCCTCGTTAAAATCATATCGCATCTCGTGATTGACGTATCGATAAAGATACTTTGCTATTCAATAGTTCTTAATTCCCGACGACAGATACCGTCTCGGAACTTTGAAGTTTGAGTTTATGAAGTTTAAGCCGAAAGTTCGCAGCCGGACGCGAGACGGATAAGGCAGAACACTGAAAATCCAAGTATGTGATTTTTGCACACATGAAAGTCTAAAAAGTCTAAAACACATTTGACTGAAGCTATTTTTACATGTTTCTTGCCGATTTAGTTTACGTCGTTTAAAACGTTTAATCGCGTTAAATTAACACGTTAAATTTAGAGGTGTTCAGTTAACAAGTCCAATCGTGTTAAGTGGCGTGATTTAAAACGATAAGACATGTATAAGAAATATGTAAAAACAGCTTCAACTAAAGGATTTGCAGTGCACTCTTCTTTGTTTATGCCGTTTACCCGCCTCGGGCAACGATATCCTCGTTAAAACCATATCCAATCTCGTGATTGAAGTATCGATAAAGATACTTTGCTATTCGATAGTTCCTCATTTCCGACGATAGATACCGTCTCAGCATTTTGAAGTTTGAGTTTATAAAGTTCAAGTAGCCGAACGCGAAATGAATAAGATAGAACAACTGCAAATCTTTTAGCTGAAGCTCTTGTAAACCATTTCTTCCATATGTCTTACCGTTTGAAATCACGTCATTTAACACGATTGGACGTTTTAACACGTTATAAATTAATTTAATTAATTTAACACGATTAAATTTTTATATGACGTCAGCTAAATCGGCAAAAAATATATAAAAATAGCTTCAGTCAAATGTATGTCATTTTAAGACGTTTATCCATATGAAAATCACACATTTGGATTTTCAGTGTAGTGATAGCGCGTTTCGATGCCCATTTGTCCGTGCTCGCGATACGGATGAACGATCGTTCAGGTTCGCAGAATTATTTCGCGTTTCCGTTTGCATTTTTCATCAGAGAGAGAGACAGAGAGTGAACGTGCCGGCGTTATTTCACCGTGCTGAAAAATTATCCCCCTGCTGCTGCAGCTTTCAAGCCGGAGACAAAAGCGCATGTGACAGACGTATTAAAACACGCGGGGCAAAATTAAAGCATTATCATACGGTGCCAGATTGCGCGTTGTGCTTTGCAGTTGCTCGCGAAAGGAGAACGTGTATAATCGGGAATCCGAGATGAGCACGTTTTAGCGAAGCTAGAATAATTTCAATGCGTGACTACTTCGTCCCACTTCCGCAAAGTTTGGTTTTGCCACGATAACACGGCCGATTTTGCGCTTTAGTTCTCATCACGATCGTGTAACAATATCACAAAGTGATTGTGCGCCAGAAATTCCGAGACGCTAGCGTTGAATTCGATCGTTTGTAACGTTAACGTCCTTACTTCTTTTAATACACTGAAAGAAAAAGACCTGTTACTAAATGTATGGCATGAATTACCAAAGTTTAGTTTAATGATCTAAATGTATCTGTATCTTTGAAAAATAGTTTCATCTTTTCAAATCGTTTTTTAGCGGCAACTGAAAATTTCTAAATTCATCAATTTACCTACATTTATACAAGGTTTCATTAAAATCTAAATTTTCAGGTTCGCGAGGTTCCCTAATAAGTATAATTCCGAAATCTTTTCTTATGCAATGTTGTGCCAAACATTCTTCTCTTTCTGTAGCAGCTTTTACGTAGCAAATCGTACGAGCGTTTCCTCTTAATTATCTGTTATATTTTTTAATTGTAAAAATCGTACTGTCTTACCGTAATCGTAATTCAGTGTCTCGTAAATATCTTCTAGCAAGTTATAGTTCTCCTCCTCCTCAACATTATGCAGAAGTTTTTCTCTGAAATGTAAAATAACATACATATGATGAAAATAACATACATATTTCCATTTCGCATTTAGTAAAATACAAGTTAAATTAATCATTTATTAGGACGATTTAAATTTTTGCTTAAAGCGTTACACATCAGTAGTTTATTTGACCGAATTTATTTTCCTCAATCTGCGCTTTAATGGAACATTTTTGTTTTAGTAAATATACTCACAATGACGTCGACATTGGAAAAGGTGCTTCATGTTTGCTTAACAGAGCCTCTAATGCCACAGCTACCACTTCGTTCTGCAACAGAAATCACCGGGATGACGTTGAAATATAATGGAATTAATAAAATAGAATTAATAAAATTAATGAATTAATAAAATCGTTGTAATTTGTAAAACGTGATGATTAACATTATATTAATATATTAATATATTATTGTATAATATATTATTGTTACACGATTCATGAAACACAACATCATAAAATACATTTACCGATCAATGTTGAATGTACATTTTTGCGTTTAACCAGTTAACTGTTTTTGACGAGTATACTCGTCATAAAAAAAGTACAAAATTTTGGCGGCAATTTAAGGTACGGCAATTTAAGGTTAAAATTTTGTACTTTTTTCATGACGAGTATACTCGTCAAAAACAGTTAACTGGTTAAAAATATCCAATATGTGGATATACGTAAAATTTTTCATATGTTGGGTGAATGCAAAAGTTCGAGCCCGATTTATCATTAGAATTCGAACAGCAATTTGGCATGTAAAATTTTTCTTTATTAATTTTATTAATTCTTTAAAGTTTTTTAAATTAAAAAATTAAAAATTTTCTTTATTAAAATTATTAATCAATAATGTAATCGTCGTTATGTTCTATAATACAATCTTCTTCCAATGTTCCAGTAATATATGGATGCCTCGATCATAAAACGACCTCGGTTTTGCGTCGAAGAAGGAAGAAAGATGATTTTTCACAGCTTCCAACGATGAGAAATTTTTTTTCATTTACATCGTTTTGCAACGATTAAAACGAGTAATAATCTAATAATGCGATATTAGGAGAATACGGTGGATGTGATATGACATTTCAGTTTTTTCAGTTTACGCAAGTTCTGTTTTGCAACGTGTGATTTCGCGTTGTCGTAGTAAAAAACGACTCCTTTCCTATTAGCCCGAATTGGACGCTTCTTCTGGATTGCTATTTTTAAATGGTCTAATTATTATAATGAGACAATATTATATTATATTATAATGACAGTACTTGTTAGAATTAATCGTTTGGCCAACGGGAAGCAGATCAAAATAAATTATTCCTTTTGCAATTCAAACAGAACTTTGCAACGTCAAATGGAAAGTTTCACATTTTCAGGATGCAATATTGGCTTTTGCCATAGATTCTGCACGCTCATCTGCTAGTTTTCAAGTGCGTTTGCGTTGAACATCGTTGTACGGGATTCGTTTTTCATCCCCAGTCACCACTCGATTCAAAAACGTCTCTTTATTTAGTCGGCCAAGCAAAAAAACAGTTGTAGAAACTCGATTCATTTTATTCGCTTCGGTTAGCAAATGCGGCACACGACACGTATCAAGTTTCAAAATGTACTTGATCTTTTTCAATGCCGAAATGCAGTCGATCTGTCAATGTTGAGTTTTATATCAATCTCTTCTATTGAAATTCGCGAATTATATTCCACTGAATTGCGCATAATGTCATCATCTATGCCGGAAGGTCGGCCAGAGCGTGGCTGGTTGTCAAAGTGGAAATCATCATGTCTGAATTTTGTAAACCATTTCTCAACAGAGCTTCTCTTCGAATTGCTAGTGCATGATTTATCTGATAGATATCTTGAATATTTTTTTACGACAGTTCCAACTGTTACGCCCTTCCAAAATTCATAAAACATAACATCGTCGTAAATACAACTTTTCTCCGCTCATTTTCACAATTTTTTTCACAACGTGAATTCTATCAAAACACAAAATTTTCATTCAAATGATCATTGAATACGTCGTTTTTCCATAGATGTGCAATATGTATACATAACACTCAATGACGCTGCGATACTCTCCTAATGACGTCTATTGAAATCGGCTATGAAATTTTGCACCATCCAATATGTATAATTTAGTCCCCATAAGCGCGTAATATTCTTAGAATATTATATGAATATTATTCAATATTAAAATAATATTCCTATATTATTATAAGAATGTTATGTAATAATTTTTAATATTATAGAAATGTTCTATTGATGTTATATGCCCATTTCATATAATATTCTTGGCACATTATACAACACTTGTTCTTAGAATATTAAAAAAGATTAAAACAATAATAATATTGAAAAATATATGTAAATAAATTATACAGGGTGTCCCAAACTAATCTCGGTTCCCGTGGTGTGCAAGAATGAGTGAAACTGAGTAGAAAACTCCAATACCATTTTGCAAACAACGCAAAATTTCGAGTTATCAATGATTGAAGACAGTCATTTATAGATGCTTCTTTAATTAATAATTCAACAATTTGCGTGTTATTTGCAAAATGGTACAAAACTTTTTTGTTCAGATTGGCTTAATCTACAAATAGTCTTAATCTACAAATATATATATATATATATATATATATATATATATATATATATATATATATATATATATATATATATATATATATATATATATATATATATATATATATATATATATATATATATATATATATATATATATATATATATATATATATATATATATATATATATATATATATATATATATATATATATATATATATATATATATATATATATATATATATATATATATATATATATATATATATATATATATATATATATATATATATATATATATATATATATATATATATATATATATATATATATATATATATATATATATATATATATATATATATATATATATATATATATATATATATATATATATATATATATATATATATATATATATATATATATATATATATATATATATATATATATATATATATATATATATATATATATATATATATATATATATATATATATATATATATATATATATATATATATATATATATATATATATATATATATATATATATATATATATATATATATATATATATATATATATATATAATCTAATAATCTAAGATTATGCCCGGAATATTATTTAATATTAAATAATATTACGCACTTATAGGGATTATAGTAATTTCGAACTTTCACCGAACAATTTTTTCGAACATACACGGTTTTTCGTCGGAAAAAGGAAAAAAAGAAAAACAAGAGAGAAAAACATTTAAAAAATTGATACGTGCACGTACACGCATTGCAACATCAATACACGTACACGCATGAATCGTGCGTCAACATGACGAAAACGAATTACACGAACTTGAACGGCTTAACAACGCGCGCGAGTGCATCCGCGTTTAGTAATTGCGTAGCGACAATACGATAGTTTTTAATCTAGATTTCCCGCTGTGAATTGCGGCCTGCGTTTTACAAGAAGAATTATAGCTCCATTTGGTACGCTCGTACGGGCAATTCTTCTCGAGAGAATAGCGCGTGGAACACTCATATGGGACATTATTTTAGCCACACGACCTTCCCCGCTTAACGGTATTAGAAGCAAAATTATCCTGTGACATCGCGCGATGGAATTATCTTAGATGACGATTAAAAAATATTTTTCTTTCTTTAGGGATCTGCTTATACAGAGTGTCTCAGAACCAAATACCCCCGCTCATAGGAGTGTAGAACTCATTGAGTTGAGCAAAAAAATCCTATACCATGTAGCAAATAACACGCAAAATTTCGAGTTATCAATGATTGAAAATAGCCGTGTATAGAGACTTCTTTAATTAATAACTCAACAATCTGCGTGTTATTTGCAAAATGGTAAGAGACTTTTTCGCCCCGAATAGTCTAATCTACAAATATATGATAACTATTGTGCTTATACAACAAAAAAGTTCTGCAGCATTTTACAAATAACACGCAAATTGTCGAGTTATTAATTAAAGAAGCCTCTATAAATGACCATTTGCAATCGTTAATAACTCGAAATTTTGCGTGTTGTTTGCAAAATGATACAGGACTTTTCTGCTCAGTTTCACTCGTTCTACTTGCGTACCACGGGAACTGAGATTACTTTGGGACACCTTGTATAATAGAAAATTCGCCAAGCTATATTTTCCGCGAAACCGCACCGATATTTGACGAGGTTGCGCGAAAAGCGTTGCGAAACTCCAACGCTTTATCGGGTAATTATCGAACGACGTAATTATCAATGACTTGGACATTTTATTATTATACAACGTGAGGCGGAATAAATTGCAAGAGATGAGAGATGGCTCGCGTTAAAATATATTTTTCCACTGTCGGTTCTCTACATCGGCGCGCTAGCAACTAAATCCATTGCGTTCTTATGTTGCTGCATGAAAAAGAAATCGACGATAAACAACGCGCGAACAACGCGCGCTGATCTCGGCACGGCGAGTGTTTGCATTTCAAAAAGCGGGAAATGTTTACATATCATCGTGCCCGTCTTTGTAAATAGTACACACACGTTTTCCACGACGTGTTTGCGCAGAAGGGAAGGTCCCTTTGATTCGGAGATATTCCGTCTCAGCGAATTCTCTTGCTACGTATACAATTTATCACAATGATATCCGACAAATGACGTTATCTGCCGAGACTGACAGCTGAGATGTCCATTTATATCCGTACAATATTGAACACTCCTGTAGAGATAACGACCAAATTAATCAATAGCTCACACGCGAATAGCATGATGAGACGTTTCATCCAATTAATATCATTTATTCATTCATTTATTATCTCCTCTCCCCTTCTCCTTCTCTCTCTCTTTCTCTCTTTCCATCTCTGTCCCTTTCTTTATCACTTTTTCTTTCTCTCCTATATGTAAGAGAATCGTCAGAAACTTTCTCGATCCGCGAGATAAAATTTTCGTGAACGGCAATATTTGCGACAATATTTTCGACTCGATGCAAGCAACGTCATGGATGTAAATCGCATAACGTGAGATTATAATTATATTCAAAGTTTCGATACAATCTCATTGGAATTGTGCGATTAGTTGAACATTAAACGTCGGTTAGTCCAGCAAGATTGTAAGAATTAATTATACCGGCATCTATTAATAATTCAATAGTCGTTTGCACGGAGAAAACAAATTTTGCTAGAACAGTAAATATTTGTCAATATAGTAACAGCAAAGAAACAAATGTATT